TATTTTGAATAGCTAGGAGATCTTCAGTGGACTGATAATCAAGACTGAGTAACCACTTTGTAATTTTAGTCTTACATTCATTTTTAGTTAAGAGGATAGAAGGCAAATATATTGTTTAATTTATTATATAAATAACTTCCGAGGAAACAGAAGAATTTACCTGCGAATTTAGTACCGAAAGTTACTGAGGAGCACACAGTGTGTTTCATTCTTTTATTATTGTAGGTTGGATCGAAAAATAATTGAGTGTTTGAACAGAGTGACATTCAAGATAAACAATTGGCGGACAGTTAGGACTTTACAGTGCTTATAGAGCTCACTAGTTGGATAAAGTCGTGGAAGGAAATGACACACTTTGAGTATTAAGATTAATACTCAAATATGTGCACTTTCGAGAGGAAGCAGGGCTGATGTAGGCGCTCCACCCTACACAGTGATGCAATACATCAAAATAGATTGGCATAGTGCCAGATAGACCATTCTAACAACTCGGGGATCACCAACATGTCTAAGGCTTTTAAAAATGTTGGTTAATTTACGGGCTCTGTTTGATACAGCATTAATGTGCTGGCGAAAGCTAAGAGTGTCATCCACAATAACACCCAAGTACTTGATGAATGAGGTTCTAGAAAGGGTAGGATGTGCAGGGAGTAGGTGGTTTGCGGCAAAATATGAGTGGGCAATAACATCAATATTCTCATGTTCGGGTATAGAACCTTTTTTGGTCATGATGATGCTCAAGTATCATGATCAATATTCTCATGATACATGAGCATTTTCACAATGTCCAAATCAATCTGCACTTTTTTAAAATAATATGCTGTAATTAAAAGGCGTGTTTTCTTTACGTTTGTCCTGTGCAAAGAACTATACTAATAAGTAAATAAACAGTTTATTTGTTATACATCTTAAAACTTTAATATTTGTATTAGGTCGATTTATAAAACAATAAGAAATATTATTGAAAAAATGTTCACAGGGTCAACTGTAACAGTGGATCAATTGTAACGTCACAATTGATACCGGGACATGTGTTACAACTGCACCAGAGCACGTATTAAAAAAGAATATTCATTATCTTCAAAACTACTGTAAAATACATACACACAGTAATATTACCACAATCTTTCATATGAAACTTAGTTACCATATTACACATATAAATTCTTCGTTAAAAGTACAATAATTTGTGTTACAAATCAATATATTCTTACCTTGAACACATCGAAATAGAAAATGACCTTTAACAGTCGAACGCACCACGCGCTGCCGGCGCTCGACTAAATACAAGACGGAAAGTGTCTGAAGAGTAAGTACAAGCACACACGCGTAAAATCGTCTGTCCGTTTTCGAACTATAGACAATGTTTCTATTGGCCCTTGTTACTTTTGCCTCCGCATACGCTATAGGTTACTACGTAACAGATACATCACTCTCACACAAAATCGAAAATACTTCTATAAATCTTACTAATGACACCAAGCGCTTACTACAAGGAAACAGGAATCGTAATCAGGCGCTCAGAGAGGTCAAAATAACGTTGCCTGCCGCGTGCAGTCGTGCGGAGACGAATGCTCATAAATGAGAGACTTGTATGAGCGCTTGTGCCGACATCGGTACACTCAACGGTACGCACTTATCGCGTAACCTTGTGCGAGCGACAGAGGCCTGGTTTGGGCCCCAGTTTCTCACAATACATTACTCTAAGCCTATATAATACTTTATGTACATACTTATCTCTGGTGTAGGTAACATTCCTTTCTTTGTCATGGACTAATAACTCAAGACTGCTAATAGCGATTTAAGACGTGACAAGACAGCATAGTCGGCAATCAGGTGTTTAATACCTATTGGTACGCCAGATGTCGCGACCTGTACCAAAGTAATTATATTGTTTTACATTGTCAATGTGCAATTTAACAAAGCTAGGTACTCTAAATTTTAGTGATAACATTGAATCAACTAGATGGCGCTTATTGCACAGATTTTATCATCGAGATTTTATGGACAGTGCCGCCTAATTTATTTATTTTGATTAGGATTAGCGCCATCTACCCGTATTAGCAAGCGTTAATTTTTATATTAGTTTGTAACGGACAATGCCATCTATTTGTCAAAGTTTAGAAATAATTTTAGTTCATGATCAATAATTTTAGCTCACCGCCCACTTAGGCTCAATTTATTTCGCGGTGGTACGGAATGGAAGCGAATTTTCGTAACGATATTGTACATAGTATAATGAACTTTATGGCCAATTGTGTAAAGTACAAACTTGACACGAACCAAAAACTTCTGCGGAATGCGCGAGCATTTGCAAGCATGCGCGAGAATTACGCGGATTTCCATTAAATTAAATTTCCATAAAATCAACGTCCACCACCACAAATCTAATTGAAAACACGTATTTTTTATACTAACTTAACACAAAAATCATAAGAAAAAAATTCTCTTGTAGTGTAGTTTTTGTAGGTTTTTTCAAATGGGGTAGCACCCACTGGACAGCATCAACCCCCGCCACCCCCCCCCCGGCCCCCAATTGCTTTCGACGCCCCTACTGCCCCCTAGGACTCTTCAGCGCCCACTGAGTGACAATAGTCACTTTGGGAGACCTTTTTTATTTCTACGCAGTGGTGGATTTGCAGTTTTGGCCGCCCCAGGCCATGTAGTCAGTACCAGTCGCCCCTTTCTCAGCACTCATCATATCGTCTGTTTAAAGGCAAAACCACATAAGTGACATTTTCCACAAATAGTCTAAAAATTAATAACCTTTGACTTTGACCACGATATAAGTTTCACTTGCCCAATTGGCGCACGATTTATCGCAACTAATAATTATTAATATTATAATTTGTCATGTTTGTCATGTACTTAAATTTACCGTCTTTGATAAGTGCTATTTTTCTTCAGGTGTATGACTATGACTTGCTCATATTAAATATATTAGCTAAATATCCTGGCAGTTCCCACGATGCCTTCATTTGGAAGGCAGTCATAGTTCGAGACCAAATGAAAATACTTCCGCCAACTGGCTTCTTGGTATGCACCTGTAATAATAATATATAACTCAGTAAAAAAATGTAAACCAAAATAACATGTACAAATAAGGTATTTCTCAGGTGATTCCGGCTACCCACTGGAGCTATGGCTAATGACGCCTAATGGCAGCCAGGTTGCAAAATACACACGAATGCATATTTTGGTAAAATACTTGTGCGAATTGTTATTTTTATTAATTATAATATATTGTCTAGACTACATTTTTTTTTATTTTTAGGCTCGGAACTCCATCGAAAGATGTTTTGGAGTTCTACAAAACCGTTTCAGATGTTTGCATAAGCATCGCGACCTAGCATATTCTCCAAAAAAAACAGGCCAAATTATTAACGCATGTGCTGTTTTGCACAATGTTCTGGGCGGGTTAGGGGCACATGCCGAGAATGCTGAGACGCAAGGAAGTGAGACGCAAGAAAGTAGCCCATCTCAACAAGAAATAGAACAAAACATTTAACTGTTTCAGAGGGGGCTCCTTATAAGAACTAGTTAATAAACAGATTATAAAAACATTACAACTTATATTTCCTTGTACAGGCTGAGTAGCATCACTTAATTTAAAACCATTAAAAGTCTTGTGTAATCATGATAGAGACTCAGTCTTTGAAAGCCTATTAAAAAGACACGACTCCATTTTACAGGACTCGACTCTAAAATTAAGACTAAAGGTTCGAGTTTTTTTAAGACTTAGTCATTATACTAACAGACTCAGAGTCGTTTGTTTTTACAAAGACTAGCGCCTTAGTAGTGCATGATAGTCAACAAAAAAAGTAGTAGATTTTTAATATACCTTAAAAGACTGAGTCTCCGACATCACTATCCCTGTGAAATAATCAATAAACATTTTACCTTAGTCGTCTTCGGCCATGGCAGTCATGTTCTGCTGCTCCACTGCAGTTGCGACTGCTCTAAGAGCAGCGGCAACCTCTTGCAGGCCTAATTTTATTGATGAGGCCACTTCAGCCAATCCTCCAGCTACGTGCTCTAAGGCAATCGCCTGCCTATCTAATGAGTCTTGCAGTGCGTCATCCACAAAACATTTTAAAAATTATATGTTATTATTATGTTATATTTATATTGTATTATTATATTACAACATAGAATTATATATATATTAAGAATAAATATCGCCCGTTTGCCAGAACAACGTATTGTCTATATATCTCGTTGTTTTGGAGATAACACGTTGTTCTGGCAAACGGGCGATATATATTCTATATTTAGGGGTTTTCCCTACAGCAAAAGTAATCATAAAGATGAATACAATGACCTACTATCAGCCATACCCATTACTAAACAAAGATTTGGTCTTGGTCCCCTTATGTATGCCAGTAGCATAAATGCATGTTAATGATATGAATTGCAGTATTATTATCAAGCATAAGCAACTCCCCAGGCAAAAAATAAAATTGTTAAATTGTTCTTGCCGTGGATGCCATAGACACACAACATACACAACCACGAATAACACCCACATTCACGGGAGAAATAAATGAGGACCATACAAATATTTCTCACGGCCCTTCGAACCTAGGACCTTTGCGTGCCAGGCCAATATGGTAACCCTTCAGCCATGGAAGCAGCTAATAGTATATAGTTAGCATAATACATTTATATACATACTTTTCGCTTTATGGTGCCGTTCTCCCAAGCCCTCATCTATCACTTCCACCTCTACGTATGCAGAGGGATCGGTTATTTTTTCATTCACCTCTGTTGGAGGAATCATGTCTGTAACCTATATATACAAGTGTTTTAGATCAAATTTAGGGAGTTTCCAATAACATAGCCAAAGACTATTCAAACACTTGTGTAATAAGTTAGTAATATAAGGTATGCAGTATTAGACATGTAATTAGTATTGGAAATGTACCCATGAATTATAATATTAGTACTACCCCGTTTTCTACTATAACCAATGATGACACAAGTTATCTTTTACACGCAATGCAATCCACACTCTTTCAGATAAAGGTTCTTTAGTTACCTCCAATGGGTCCTGAACGTCCTCCACCCCAAGCACCATTTCAATCCCACAAAATTGGAGGAGGGTCTCCTCAATCTGGGTGAGAGGTGAAGGGCCTGGCCCACCTCCAGAGCCCTCACAATACTTTTTTATTTTTAAAGCTTTCGCTTTTACATCACATCGCCAGTCCATCCAGCACTAAAACAGTTTACAATTATTTTAAAAAATTTCATCATGTTGTTCTTTAGATAATATGTAGTTACATACACAGTACAAGCGCACCTTCAACCATTTATCAGGGGTTTTGGTGGCCCCAGACCCAATTGAATTTAATGTTGTGGTCATCTCTTGCAAGAGTTTGGCCTTGTGCCGCACTGCATCAGGCCCCGTGACACGGCCTCTTGCCAGATCCTCATGGGCCATCATAAAGGCCAGCATGGCCTCGCGCTGCTGGGGCGATACTCTAGGCTGCGGAATTTTCTATAAATTGCTCCACAACAAATTCGTATATTTACAAGCCCAAGAAAATCATGAATAAAATGTAAACAATAATGGAAAACTCACTTTGCTCATGGTATTACTTTGCTTCTTTTCACTTATGTTCCAATTGGCGGTGCCTTTTTAGGATTTAAATTCCAATACTATTTTTCTTCCAATTGTTTCTTTCAGTAGGTTCTGCTATTGAACGAGTATTGTGGACATGAAAATTAAAAAATCAATACATAAGCTTTTTTATTTTTTCTTATTTCTCTTGGTCTTTCGTGGTAAGCGTTTTAGCCACTTACAAAATGTTTTGACTAACTTTGATATGGCATTTGAAAGTTGGAGAAAAAGTGCAAAAGGGATCAGGCGAGGAATTATGAGATGTAAATAAACATGGTATAAATATAGAATAAATATTATATTATTATTTCAGCTGTTAAATCTTTATATTATTTTCTAAAATAAATTTAGATAAAAAACATATATAGAAGAGTAATTGGACAACAACAAAAGATAGATGGAAGTCGGATGAGGCACTTGGGATTGGATACGATTCTGGATAAGAGAAGAACGATAAAGTTTTGGGCAATTTAAAAAAAAGTGATTTAAATCACCAATTTCACTGCAGTCACACACATTGTCAACAACTATATTGAATCTCGCAAGGTGAACAGGAGTACATACGTGACCTAATCTCATACGAGTCAAAATGCGTGCAGCCATTCTGCTCAGTTTTAGTTTAGAGAACCACGGTTTCACTTGTATTGATGGTTGGATGTTGCTATAAAATCTACCTTTAAACTGAGAGCTCTCCGTCCATGCCATAGTCCAATTATTTCTAGGAAATATCTTGAGAAGTGTGACCAGGTCATGTACTTTCTAACAAAATAGCAAGATATTTTTATTATTATATGTCTTCATGGCGGATAGGCTTGAGTCAGTGTCAGTATTCTTATAAAAATCATAAGTAAAGTAAAGGCGAAGTCGCCAATGGTATTTAATACCTCTTTAACCGGAATACCAAAAAATAAATAATATATTTCCGTACCTATGACGGCGAAAAAATAAAGCAAGAGAAAAACTCGCTCAGACTCATATAAATAAACAATGATGACAGTATAATAATTTTGACAATGACAGTAGAAAAATACCGTTTACAAAGTATTTTAGCAAAAAGAAAAGACATTTAGGCACGTTAATAAATTGATATTAAAACTAAAATCATTCATCACACTGGTAGGTTAACTTAAAACATAACATATCCAATTATTTTCACTTATATTTTAACCATATATCCTTAATTTTAAATTCCTACGAATTCGTTTTGAAACCAACAACAAACTACCTCTATAAACATTAAAACGAATGTCTCCAGGGTTTTTAAATCTGTGAGCGGGTCTCCACCCTGTCGCGTTCTCACAATCACATTCGTGCGATAGGCGATGCGAATAGCGATGCGATGCACGACATACATGTGTAAACGGTTAGATGTAATCAAACCGTTACGATATCGTAGCGATTTTATCTTGAATTGCTTTTTCGTATTCACGTGTGACACCGCGTTTACACTATCGTCGCGTCGATAGTTTCGACGAGATATTCATCGAAACTGTAATAATTATAAGAGAAAATTTAGATTTAAATATAAATAGTTACAAGGAATTAAATAGACTGGTCCGTTCTCACTCCAATATCAGTAGGTCTCTGTTATTTTTTGTTTGTTTGTTAGATGCTGCAGTTAATAAGATTAGTAAAGAAATCAATGAAATTTCAAAGACCTCTTATATCAATAAAATAATACAAGCTTACAATTTGTTTTTACATAATTTTCAGATGGTTTATGCTAAATTGAATGAGATTGAAAATATTATAGCGTTTAGTAGAATCGGAATATTACATCAATTTGTTGTTAATACTCAGGAACTTATAAGGATACTAAAGCTTATAGAGAGAACGGACAAGCTCGTATTGCCTTCAACTCCAGAAAATATAATAAAAATTGAGCAGTCAATTGTATTAAAATCATATGTTAAGAATTATGAAATTATATTTGTAATGGAAATACCTTTAATTAGAAAAGATACCTACTTTTATTACAAAATTGTTCCCTTACCAATCACCAACCCTGAAACAAACCTTACCTTAATTATTTTACCTAAATACCCTTACCTTATTGCAAAGGGGTTGAAAGCTAACTCGTTATCCACGCCGTGCAAAGCCGTCGAAGATGGAATGTTTCTGTGTGACGAAACGCAGACAATAGTTCCTGTTGAAGATACCTGTATTCTGGATTTGATGAGATATTCGAATGATGTTTCCTGCCTGTGCACAGATTCCAATAGAACTTGAAGAAATAAAGGTAGAGCCACTGCATTTGAACAGATGGGTAATATACACGAAGTTCGCAGTTGACCTCACAAGGTGCCCTGTGCCAATAAAATTCTACATTACACTCTTTCTGGTACAAACCTGCTCACGATAGACGACAAATGTGAATACAAAATAGCGAACCATTGTTTACGAGAACATACCTTAAAAGGAGAAAAATTACTATATCTACAACTTCCTTTAGCAAAGCTCCCTGCAAACCTGAAGACTGATATCCAAAGGAACATCAATCCTGTAAAATTAAATGGAGTTGACCTGACTAATTTAAAAATAATATCGTATGCGTTGAAAAACAATGAAGTGCCAAGCGTTAGTGTAGTGGATACGGAGTGTTAGCATAGGAACCATTGTCTTATATGTAATATTAATCATAGGTTTTCTTTCTTATATTTTATACAAATATTTCGTTTCCATATGCAGTTTTCGCAAAAGTCGCAATCATCCTCCAAAAAATTTGTTTTTCGGATGATTTCGAACTGAAGGAGGGAGAAGTTACACAGTCTCACTCCTATAGAGATAGCATGGTCATCATAAATGCACCTGCGCCCAAAACTGCGTAGTTGCATGTCTATAGTAGATAAGGCGCTTAGCAGTAAGAATATTGAATTAAAATAAATCAGTCTTATATCGACCATCAAACGAATTGTTCGTTTTTTATTAACCGACTTCAAAAAAGGAGGAGGTTCTCAATTCGACTGTGTTTCTTTTTGTATGTATGTTACGCGATAACTCCGGTATTTGTGAACCGATTATCATGATCCTTTTTTTTGTTGGAAAGGGGGTACTTCCATAGTGGTCCCATTTCATTTTGAGGAAAATCATCCACCTCTGAGGGTGGCTGTTCACGCATGAAGATTCCTTTTTATAAAAAGCGCCTAAATTTTACTAAGGAGCAATTATTTTCATGGTTGATTTTGCTATTTCTCCTATTCAAGGCGTTTTTCTCTCCATATACTTTGAGTAGTGAGAACCGATTTTTATTATCTCCAGTGTCAAGTCCTTTAAAGTGGCGAACTAGGATATTTCAATAAAACTTAGCAGATAGACGTAACTTGTACTTTTGAGGTCGGTTTTTTTAGTACTCTGTACTGAATTATTTTATAATTACTTTTTAAAAGTCATTTTCCCTCTGTCGCGATTTGACTACATATTGCACTAGGGAAACCCTGTGTTGCTGGTGCCATGGACACACACATAGACAACCACAAATTACACCCAAACTCAAGAGAGAAATAAATGTAGGCCATACATATATTTCTCCCGGCCCGGGAATCGAACCTGGGACCTCTGCGTGGCAGTCATGGCAGTGGCATGGTAACCGTTCGGCCACAGAGGCAGTTCAACAACAACTATATTAATATTATAGTCATAATATTTCAACTTCATGAATTTCATAGCTAACCGGCAGCTGTAATGGTCCGTTGAGTTAGACACCCGGGGATGTGACATTTAAAATTTCATAGAAAGTAAAACTATTACAATATCGAGTTCTTAGGTTTTCGCGAGTGTTACACATAGAAAATGAAACTATTTTTCCGGATTTAAATCATTGTAATAACTTATAATTTATTAAAATTCTAGGGTAAATCAATACTTTTAGATATAAAAATACCTGCAGTATATAATTTTAACCTTATTTTAATGGTATAAAATAATATTATTGTTTTTAATTACATTTTTAACCACAATAAAAATTACCTGTAAATGTACCTTTTACATGAATATGACCCTAATTCTGTACATGTCTTACCCTTACCTATTTCTACCGCCAAGCAGTAATGTCAGCATTACTGTGTTCCGGTTTTGAAGGGTGAGGATGCTGGTGGAATTATAGGCACGTAAGACTTGTCAACTTATGTCTCAGGGTGACGAGCGCAGTGGCAGTGCTCCTCAGATCTTCGCGATTTAAAGCTCTGAGTGGCTCTGCAACTGTTATGGGCAGGCGGCGTGTAGCTTACCATCAGGCGCACAACTTGTTTGTCCCATCACTTGATATTATAAAAAGAAACTAAACCTGTGGGTTTTTGATTATTAAAATACAAAGCTGATTATTAACACTTTATTTTGAATAAATCATGACACCAGTCCATTTGATAATAAATTTAATAGTAAACGTGTGGTTTATTCCAATGGGGACTTAAAAGGGCTAACATATTATTTGTGTCTTGCCTCAAATGTGTGAAATTTTGACATCTGGGCCGTCTGGAACATCTGGATAGACCCATAATTTTATATACGAATTCTAAAATGTTTGCATCATAATCGTTGCTTTTCTGTATGAGCAGTTTATCAATATGAAAGTTATACATTTTTGCATTTTGAATTCCGTTGATTTCTTGAGTTGGTTTTATTCCAATTTGTCAGTCTCCCAAAGAACCATTTATGAATATGCTTTGTAAATAAGCATTCTAATCGTATATTGACAGTTTTCATTTAATCTTTGCACTCATTATCATATAGCAATTATTGTAGTATTTGATAGTGAAGGTATGTATAGTTTTCCCATAGTTGTTTGATGTTAGTCACAATTAGATATTTCCCCATCAATATGGGCTATTATATGACATTTAATTTTATGTTTGTCATGATCATGTTTTCTTGTATAACATTTATTGCAAATATCACAAACGTATGGTTTCTCTCCAGTGTGAGTTTTTAAATGTGTTTTACAATCTCCTTTACGAACAAAAAATTTGCTACAGAGATCACATTTGAACTGTTTCTTACCAATATGAACCTGTAAATGATGCTTAAGTCGTGCTTTTGTTGTAAAACATTTATTGCAAATATCACAAATGTATGGTTTCTCTCCAGTATGAATCTTTAAATGGTTATTAAAACTTGAATTAAATGCAAAAACTTTGTTACAGTGGTCACATTTGAACGGTTTCTCTCCAGTATGCGTCCTTAAATGCGTATCATAACTTAATTTATAGCCAAAAGTTTTGTTACAGTGTTCACATTTGTATAATTTCTCTCCAGTATGCGTCCTTAAATGCGTAACATAACTTAATTTATAGCCAAAAGTTTTGTTACAGTGTTCACATTTGTATAATTTCTCTCCAGCATGGACATTTAAGTGACGTGTAAGTTGAGATTTAGTTGTAAAACATTTATTGCAAATATTACACTTGAATGGTTTCTCTCCAGTATGAATCATTATATGAGTCTTAAGTTCTTGTTTTGTTGTAAAACATTTATAGCAAATATCACACTTGCACGGTTTCTCTCCAGTATGGAACATAGTATGAATTTTGAGTTTACTTTTTGATGTAAACCATTTATTGCAAATGTGACATAAATACGGTTTCTTTCCATGAGTTTTTAAATGACACTTAAGTTGAAATTTGCTTATAAAATATTCAGTGCAAATATCACATTTGTATGGTTGGGTATCAACATTCAACCCATCAGATTTTTTCTGCACACATTTTGCTTGAACTAAATCTGTAGACTGCAACACCACAGGTCCTATGACCAATTCTTCTTTGATTTTGTTTGCATGCAAATCCCGCTCCTTAGTAATATGTTCTGCAACACCAATTTGCACACATTTTGCTTTAACCACAGCAGGAGGTTGTAATACCACTGGCCCTATGACCATCTCTTCCTTGATTTCGTGATTTGCAAACAGGTCCAGCTTTTCTGTAATGTTTTCTTCCGTAACATCAACTGGCTCTTGTTTGAGGTGGACATTTTTTAGTAAACCCATAGGGTTGTTTTCTAATTCACCTCCCTCCTTCTTAAAGTTCATAATGTATAAAAACCCTCACCGAATCACAACTGTTGTTTATTATCTCTTCGATTTTCACAAAAAAACTGCCCGCTCTTAAACTAAAACACTGCTTTTATATTATTCAGGACGACACCCACTCCACCATTTTGCTTCACAGTGTTGTCATCCTGAATAATAAATTCCGTATAACCATTACAAAGAAGAATATTTTCCTATAATTTGGTAACTAAATAAATTATCAATAAAAATCTATACAAAATTATCTGAACCCTACAATAATATCGTGTAAGCATTAGCTGTTGTTTCTATAAATTACATTTTTTGCTTGGTGAATGCTGTCTTTTTAAAATTTCGCCTCGCCAGCAGCGTTGTCAATGCCATTTGTTAAAAATCCCCAAAATTCACGGTTAAAATCTCTAAATATAGGGAGAGCAAATTTCATTTTCCCCACAAATTCCACACATGCCGAGTTCTCACTATTTATTATGAATACGCCGCATCAAAATATACCAAGGAATTATTAAACTCGAAATGAAACCATCTATTACGTTTGCTGTAAATGTGAACAGAATGTAAAATGTTTAAATAAAATGTACAGCAAATTATAAAATGAGATGACCGTCATCATTTATTTATTTTAATGAGATTCAACATAAATCAGTCTGAAAAAACACGCAAATAATTTTTAGCCTTATAAAATAAAGTAACGTAATCATTTCTTGCGCATTTGGTGACACTATGTTAAGGTCAGAAATAATCATCGAGTAAATTAAGTTTACACCTATATTTAATGATGATAAGTGGCAAGTTGTGATGTGGACGTACCAACTGCTCGGCTTTGTTTAGCAATAGGTGATTTCTTTTTTTTTCATACTGTAGATCGGTCCAAACGGGAGAGAGGACCGCGAACTCAATACGCAGATCCAACTGCTCTGATAATAATTCTGCTTAATCGGCTAATAATGCGAGTGACGTGACATGTTCAAAAAATCTTGATATCGTTCATCACAGTGTTATAATCAGTAACAATCAAACTAGCGATCCATCAGCAATCGATTGATTAAACAAAATGATAAAAATCTTCACATAGCGCTAATCCTCACAAATTTACTAATCGCGTTGAAAATTACTAAAATTCCCCGCAATTTGGGGAGTTCTCCATAAATTGGCAACACAGCTTGCCAGTGTCATTGGCATGTCAGTTATGTAAAAAAAAATTTAAAAAAATTCTTGGCTTTTCGAGTTTACCATTTCAGCCAAATACGGTGTTTTAACTTGTTTTTATATAAAACGGAACTTATAATCAAGAAGCAATAACATAGAGAATGGAAGAAGAGCATTAACCACTACGTTACAAGAGACAGGACCACATAACAATTATATTCACCGGACTCCCATTAACCAATTATGGTGACCGTCAGGATAGATGGTCGCCTGTGGCATTTGGCACTGAGTATATATTCAAGAATTGCTACCTATTTGCTACCTTTTCTAAATAATTGCTACCTTTGATATATTCTGAGAAATTTAAATTGACCAGCCATTCTGATATCAGGATGGCTGGTCGCCACTTTGTTCAGCATGAAGAGAGCAGATTTTCCAGAAGTATATATTACCAACAATTGCTACTTATTTGCTTCTTTCACGAATTAAAGCTATACGCTTCTTATCTACATAGTTAAATAATATAAGCGATTGAAAATTTTACAAAGTGCCTGATTAAATTAAAAAAGCAAACGTTTTTAGTGCTCTATTGCCATAATATAAAGGGCAGGCGTTGGCACATAATATATACAGATAATATAACTGCTATAAATAAAGTAATAAAACTATCTCAATATCATATTTCAATTGAATAAAATTATAATGGCATAGTCAATTATTTGATCAAGTGTGAGCTGTCCATATAAATCAATAAAATTGACCAAAATTTTTTTAGTTTCATATCTCTCTGTTTCCACCAAAAATTGCCATTAATAGATCGCGCAAACGAATAGTGAAGATTCAATGCTGTTCAGTTCATCTAGCGATAAATACGCGGCTGAAGTAATATGTCCCGTATATAAGGCATGAAGCCTTTATTGTGTTATTTATTGTGTTTTGTGCCTACCATAAAGATCGTTTCCATAGTAACCTTGTAACTTATGTTGTCATTGGAATATAAAACATACATTGCTTTAAGTGTGCTGAGTTTATTCTATTACCTCTTATTCGATCCTATATATCTAATTTATAAATATTTATATATTATGTTAACGGAAGAAAAATCGGAAGAAAGGTTTTTCAATCTCAAATCGTACGTACGCCATAATCTCGACTCTAAAACTGAACTTCGACACACGCGACTCCGACTACATGTTACACCGACATGATTTTACTCAGACATTACGTTACTTCGACATTATTTTACTCAGACACCACGCTACTCCGACAACATGTTACATCGACATGATTTTACTCAGACACTACGCTACATCGACAACACAGACGAGGTGTTTATTAAAAAAAATCTTAGCACTCTGATATGAAAAATCATCGTTAAACACCCATCTAGGAAATGGTTTCTCAGGGTCGTATTCCAGAACTCTACTCAATGCTCAAGTCAGGATTTGAGCAGACTTGAGTATGATTTCAAGCACTGGAAATACGACCCTAATGGCAAGGACTTGAGTATGATTTTCAGTGCTCCCTGCAATACTCAAGTCCTGACTTGAGTATTGAGTAGAGTTCTGGAATACGACCCTTATTATATATCGATTAATATAACAAAAAAAAACAAAATCATATAATCGAAAAAATCTTTTATTAGTTATATAAAGTGTAACAAAAAACGATTAAATTAAAATATAAATTTTTACTACACTATTTCATGTATGTACAAAAACCTAATTACAGTAAACAGAAAAAACATAAATTATTATTTTCGGAACGGAAGAAAATTTTAAACTGCTTTTCGAATCACAATTTTGGATAATAGATTGGACTTTTGAAATAGTATATTTTATTATATTTAGTAATTTTTTTTTGTTTCACTTTATACAGAGTGTTTTTTTAATGGGACAATTGGGGAAATCTGAAACCATAGAAGATACAAGAAAACTGTATTAGGAACCATGCATAATTTTTGATTTCATAATTTTTTTTAGTCAAGCGTGTGTTGTCCATAATAATTAATAAAATTGATCAAAATTTTGTTTAGTGCTGATCGACTCAGAGGTAGGAAGGGATCATTTCATTGTATGGGATGAAAAAATCGGGGCAGCAGAATTTGATCAAATTCCATAAATTTTTTTAATGCTAATAGACTCAGTTTCTTAAAAGGATGACTTCATTGTACCCGAAGAAAAATATCGGGACAGCAAAGTTGGACAAATTTAATTTATTAAAAATTTCATTCCCAATGTATAACATTTTCTTAAATTTGACTAACTAAAAAAAACACTCTGTATAAAGTGAAAGAAAAAAAATTATTAAAATAAAATAAAATATACTATTTCAAAAGTCCAATCCATTATCAAAAATTGTGCTTCGAAAAGCAGTTTAAAATTTTCTTCCGCCCCGAAAATAATAATTTATGTTTTTTCTGTTTACTGTAATTAGGTTTTTGTATATACATGAAATAGTGTAGTAAAAATTTATATTTTAATTTAATAGTTTTTTGTTACACTTTACATAACTAATAAAAGAATTTTTCGATTATATGATTTTGTTTTTTTTTTTGTTATATTGATCGATATACAGGCTGTAAATTTGAAAGTGGGACATATTCATACACGTCGTAGAAAATCATGTTACAACTTAACATAGACTAAAATAAAATTAGGATATGGGATAAATCAAAAAATAAATCAACATATTTGTTTTGGAGTGCACATAGGAATAAAACGATCCCCTTTACGCTTGATTTCGAGTCCAAAGTGGAACATACCAAGCGACGCCGGCGGCGACGCGAGTCGCACACTCCTACACACAATAACAATGGTTGATTTCACATCTCCCTTCCTACTTTTTCGGGCCGACAAAGCACCTCATTTCTCAAGAAAATAAAAACTAAGTTACTCACTAACTCATTTATGTTATAATGAAAAAAGCTGTTATCGAAATGATTACGTTTTAGCTTAGGTTAATTATTTTTTTACTTAGGAACCATCATCGAAATGTTTTACGTACTAATAAGTTTATGATTTAGTAACTAGTTATTATTTAATAAGAATTGAGGTTTTTGGCGTAGTTAAAAATGTGAAATTAAATTATTTACAATGATGTTTTAGTTATTTACAGTTTATTTACACTTACGTGGTACGGAGCAATTGTTCGAAATGTCCACCGTTTTGCACAATGATAGTCTAGCACGGCGTCGTAAATTTCGTTTTAAATTGTTTAGCACAAACACATTAGAAGGTTCCACACTGTCATGTGCGAGACATTGAAGTGGCGTCCTGCCTCCCGTGTGCTAGCGCGCGGCTCCTCTTCAAAATAGTCCAAGATGCGCTCCTGCAGGTCCACGCTGATTTGCCACGACATTGCCACGACCTTCAGCATTTATAGGCTCATCGAACTGGCGATAATCGCGCAGTCTTTGAGTCGCAGCAAGCATCACCCGATAATTTGGCAGCGGCCGATTTGGGAACATTTCTCCGAACATTCTAATCGCTCGTCTCACACTATCACCACTTATTGCGTAAAGTCGCACCATCTCAGTCAATTCGACATTTGAATATGTACCAGGTATCTATTTTGCGGGCGAGAGCGGCGCTGTGATCGGGCGAGCGAAAGTATACACAATGACAAAAGAGCACAAAAGCAGTTGGAAGTGTCCCTTATGTCGATCCAAAATGCCAAAAATTGGTAATACTAATAGCCCGGTTCAGCAATACCATCACACAGATCAGCCATTGCAACAAAAAAATGAAGGAAACGTAACATTAAGGAAAAAGAGATACGAACAACATTCATCGAATTTATCTAATGATGATGATTCCATAAGCTGTCAGGGCGATACCTTATTACTTGACTCTCCACAAATACAAACTGCACACTATGTGAGCCACGACAACAATGTGCCTCAAAGCCAAAAGAGAAAAGCTGATGAGAAAATACTCCTTGAAAAATTTATTGTTATATTACAGCACAACAATGATGATATTATCAAAAAAATGAAAAA